TATCTGAAATTTTGAGATAAGTTGAGATAATTTGAGATAATATCTCAAATATCCAGATAATTCGGATAAAAATAACCTCTAAAATTATTTCAGATATTTGAGCAATATCTCAGATATTTGAGATAATTTGAGATAATTTGAGATAATTGTAACAAATTCTTGTGGACTTAGCACCGCCGTTATCACCGGCAAACTCGACTAAATCTTTTGAAAGGCGAGTCTAGTGCGAGGGAAACAGCTCGCCCAACGCCCCTTTTTCACAAGCCACGCGCTCGACGACCCCAGGGAGTTATGAAGTGGGCTGAAATTCCCCCTGGCCTCTCAACTAATGATCTTTTCTCTAGTTAGCATAGGAGCAACATTCGAGTGGTGTGGGCGAACTGCAGTCTAAAGATATTGTCAACTTACAAGACGTGGGCGATGGGAGGAAAAGAAAGCGATTTGAGGCCCGAATAGAGCAACGCTTGCTGACTACAAGCGAAACGGAGTGTATTGACAACAGTAATTTGCAGAATCGAGCAGGGTTGGAGGATCTTAGTGTTAGTCATACGCAGAGGCTGGAAGAAAAGAGCGAAGCAGAGTCTTTACTACACACATTTTACCAGATTCTAGCGATGCAGATTTTAGCGATGCAGAGACTTTGGTTCCCAAGCACGATGCAGAGCTGAGTGATGCAGAGACTTTAGATGCGAGACATAGTCTAGAGTTAATCCAGCTAGGAAATAATGATTCCACGCTCACGGAAGTTCCCAAATTCGACGGCGATCTGGGGAGCATTTCCGATTCAAGTGAAGACGAAGAGAATGACTAAAGTACCAGTTTCTGAGCAAAATATAACTAATTTTTGAATTTAGTTGAAAAGGGTCATACCTCTATAAGTTTGTGACGAAATGATAGCTGAATAAGTGTTTTTGAGCGGAGACAAGACGTAGTCGTACTTTACAAGAGTCTCTTTACTCTCTGAAGAGATGCAGTTAAGATTGTATGCCGGATTATGCCAAATTATCTGGAAATTATCTCAAATTATCTCATTTATCTCAATTATCTAGATAATTATCTCAGATATCCGGTGCGGAAAAAAATTATTTCAGATATTCAGAAAAGTGAGATAATTTGAGATAATTCGAGATAACCATCACTGGTTTTGATATCAAAGAGATCATTCTCTCCAAGAAAAGAGTTAGTCATGCTCATTACTGATTCATACAGCTCGAGCGGATTGAGACATTGTAAAGAGGACATGAGCTACACTCTCTCATTTTCTTGGAGTAGATCAGCACAGAAAAACACATAAAAACAACAGGTCAACACGAAGAAATAGCGCATTGTTTGCCGCATTGTTTTCATTTCCGCAAATAAATCGATGGTAGCTCGCACGGTATCCATGCGTGGCAATTCTGAGCACGATTCTTTTACATTTCGTAAACGACTATTCAAGCTAATAATCATTGGCCAAGAGTTTACGGAAAAAAAAGCGAACAATATTCTTTTTTTTTTTTCTTGAGTTGCAGTGATCAGCACAATTACTTTTCGTAATATCATACTGTTTTTTTCAAACTAATTTACAAACCTATCGAGATCTATTTCGCTTCGAACTGTCATGATTGATTGTTTGAATAAGCAATAGTTTCGGGAGGAAATAGGGAAAGAAGGTTCAGTAACAATTTGAGCCCTATTCCGTTTTTCGTCTTTGGAGCAAAGAAATTCTGATCCCGCCGTCTTTTCCCTTCTAGAAAAAAAGTACGAATTATCATTTACTTACATGCTCCACATAAATGTTGGTCTCCATGTGATGATGATCCATAAGAATATTAAATGACGATAAGGCAGAACCGAAACATAATTTTCATCTTCTCTCAACGCTGTACACCATACTATATCTCTAAAACTTGAAAAATTTAGGTCTTCAATAACTGTAACATGAATAAACGAGGACAGTCTATTCTCGGCTTAAATTGTAATGAGTGACCTTCGTGACGAAAAAGTCACTTTTCCAGTAATAAGAAATGTAAGCTTGGGCCAATAAAGTTTGGATCGCCGGTGATTCCGATAGGCCCCTTAGTTTTGATTGGTAAATAGAATTCTTTTTTCCAAATCTTCTAGCCCACAAAAACGATTGAGCAATAAAGGAACATTCCGGAAAGCGTTCCATAAAACCCGCTCCAGAGGGCTCAACATGTCTTTAAAGCTTGGGTTCATCCTTTCCACTTGTCAAATCATATTGCCATCAAATCGATATCACTTTGTCCAAAATAAAATTGCATTCTTAGCAAAACAACATTTAGCTAAGAAAGACATCCTTTTTTTTAAAAAAACAACTCTTTTCTTTTGAGTCTAGAGGTCTGATCTTGATGCAATGCTTTTGTTTCTTTGTTACCCCACCGCGTATCATCGATTAGCCACCTTCTGGTATTACGTCATTGATAGATCATGGTCTGAGCAATTGATCAACACTTAAGTATTTTTTTGAAAACGTACTATGTTCGTGCTATAAATAAAAACGGCGCCCCTGGCTAATCAGACCGCTGGCTTTCTCACCACACAATATTTCTTTTTAGATCTCAAGGAATCATAGTGCATGAAGGAAATGCTGTTTTTGAATGCAACAGTATCTTAAAGTATTAATATTTTTCAGTAGATTTCCAAGATTCATCATATTACAGGAAGCTCTCCTCAGAATGTGACAGGTACAGAAAAATACTAACAAACCTCTCTGGAATGGATACTGTGTTTCGAGAACTCATGAAAATTGCGGCCCCTTGCCCAGCTTCTCTTTTTACAAAATTTTCACCACAGCTGGGAATCGGACCGAGCTTATGAAAGTGTATTTTTTTTTTTTTTTTTTTTTAAGGAAACAAATCGGTCTCCGGTTCGAATCCGGACTCGTCCAAATTGTTTTTTGTTCTTTCACGTCATATAATTGGCTCCGTGCTTCTTTAATTAACAAGCAATCCACACAAACCAGGAGGTATGCGATCGTGTGTTTTTTTGAGGCTGTGGTGAGAACACATGTACACACGCGTACTGAACTAAAAAGGAGTGTCTCATTCCTGAGAATTGAAGACTCAATGAGTCTAGTCTTGTGATATATAAAAAGAAAAAGTGTCTGGTAGCATGTTGTGACATGAATGAAACTAACAAAACGTGCAAAGTGTTGTTTATCATACAACTAATTCCCGATTTGGTTGGCTGGAGGCGCAAATCAACATAACTTCTCTGGAGGAAGCAGCTTACTAATAAGCTACTTCGGGTGAACTTAATTTATTTCTTTGAAAAAAGAATAGAGGTACAAGGCTTTGCAAATCTAGACAGTTGATCATGTATGATACACAGGTAAGTGTGAATGTACGGGATCTACTGGCCTATAATGTGATATACCTTTCATGCTAAAGAATCTCAAATGGTTGCAAAGCTGCGCACAGACCACAGACATTATCAACATGTACAGGGATTCTTTTCTTCTCTTCATCTAGCAGAAAAATCATCAAAAATAAAATTTGCGGAAAGCTACTGAAGCAGATAGTACACTACTCATGATGAAAAAATGTTTTCATAAATTGCAGTTGCGCAGATAATGCTCGAGACTCGTTATGCCGTTAGATGTAATTAGCAAGTCTATCAAATCACGTGGAATGATAATTCTGCCTGCAAGCAGAAAAAAGACATCAGTGAAGCTTATTTAGGAGAAAAACATTCTTTGAAATGACTGAAACAGTAGAAAAAGATGACTAGGGTTACAGCCGTACCTGAACATTGACCGCCATGTGCTATATATAATTGGAGACAATATGAAGAGGCTTGCGTTTTAGTCCGGAAAAGCCTGGGAAAGATATACACCCATTGGATCTCGCTATGAAGGGAGCAAATCCAGAATGAAAAAGAAGTCATGTACTAAAGAAGACGAGCAATATATATACATATATATACAACCGTTTTTGCTCGAAGATTCTTGATATGAATCTCACATCTGATTGTTCATTTTCCTTTTTGATTTAGTAATGTCCGAGATCAACGAAATACCGGGTGTATCCGCCATTTTTCGGGCCAAAGTCGAACATGAATTATAATTAAGACAAATTCGATAATCTTATACTGAAAGGCATTCACAAGCTGCAAATGGCATTGAATGTGCATGAACCATGATCTTAGAATAATCCTTTCAATTCATTGCGGTCTTTACTGATCAGTTCCAAAGCATACATATGTGTCCTTTTTAACAAAAACTGCGTTTCATCATCAAATCTCAAGCTTCAAGATAACTCTCTCAATACTAAACCAAAGAGAAACCATAGCGGACGGAGCCTGGAGAACCGGCCTGAGTAATGCCTTTTTCATGTTATACAGTTGTGCCGAACCAAACAAGGAGCCATTCCGTAGGATATCAAGTTACCAGGGTTGTGGCAGCTGACAAAGATTTAAGCATTTGACGTTTTCTGCGCCGTAGAAGGATTTCCATGCTGAAAGTTTAAATTATAATAAAGTTTGAGCTGAAATTCATTTCTGATTATTATTTATTTCTGTAAATGTTATTTTCTTACCTATGCACTTCTTAGGTTTAGATGGTATGCCACGTCGTATACCACAATATCCTGATGCATTTGTTGGTTGAAATTATATCAGTAGTATCGGTTCAGCAATATCAATAATATCAGTTATTGTTGGATTAAAAAGTGTACAAATACAATTAGATAATGGATTAAACGAAGAATCAGAAATACAAGTAACACCAGATTTCTTAGAAGCTAATAAAATGAGAGAAACAAGAGATTCTGATTTAGAATTAATTTTAGCAAGACCTGCAGAATATCACACATTCAGTGAGTTACCTGTATTAGTTACACCTAAAGTTTAGTAATTACCCCCTCTACATTTAAAGGGAAAATATATTACTACATTATATTAATTTAATCTATTTAATAGGTTAATATCTTATCAGTTTAACTGAGAGATCTCTTTAAATTACAGGCTTTTGCTTGACTGTATAAAATTTAAAGAGTTTAGGGATTATAGATCAATTGGTAGATCATTTGCTTTGCATGCGAACGATATCGGTTCAAGTCCGATTAATTCCAAATTAATTTGTATTTATAACCGTTATTTAATAAAAAAAAAAATTATGCTTTGATTAGACGTACCAACACCATGAGGAGTTCGTTTACAAGATTCAGCTTCACCTAACCAAGAAGGCCTAGTATATAGAGGTAAATCATCATAATATTTAATATCTTTTAATAAGGAATCTTTTAAAAACATATAATCATAATGTTTATTAGTATAAAAATTATATTTATCAAAAATAGGTATAATAATATTTTTTAATATTTTTTTATCCCTAATTCTATAATAAGCTAATTCTAATACTTTATCATTTTTACCTTTTCTTGTTCTAGTATCGCCATGAAATAAAATGGCCATTTATCAGTCTGCAAATTGCAATCATCTTGCATCGTCACCGACAGTCTTCAATTCCACTTAGAGAAGAGTGTTTTATATCAGCATATTCAATGCACTATCAAAAATCATGAAAATATTTGAAAATAGAAAAAAGGTTCAAGTAAAGTCAACATTGGTGGTGGTAAATACGGCTCGATTGTTTTCTTAATTATCACTGGACTGCACACAGCACTGGACTGCACGATGCCTCCAATACCTAAACATAATTAAAGGTCATGCAATAGACTACACCAGACCATTTTGCCCCGATGAAAATCACCTTGCCAAGCCCAAAATTCTCTAAAAGCTCGAACCATCAAAAAGAAGTCAAAAAATTCGGAAAAAAGGGCAAAACTTGTCATGTTCTGGAGACACCCCCAATGAGCCTTCTGCCGGGCTGCTGCTCTCGCGGTGATACAATAGCCAGGCCACGCATCTGGAAAAGAATGCCAAAAAAAAAAAAAACTGTGCGCGCGCGAAAAAAAGCTCATCTAGCGGTTAACAGTCAAAAAATAAAAACCCATTTTCTTCCACCAAAAACCCTCTAAATCCATACCAGAATGTCCAGCGTCATTGGAATCACGTTCGGAAACACGTCGCTGTCGATCGCCGTCGCCAGCGCTGATGGAAAAGTCGACGTCATTGCCAACCCAGATGGTGACAGAGCCATCCCTTCGGTGCTTTCATATATCGGTACCGACGAGTACCATGGCGCTCAGGCACAGGCGCAATTGGTGAGAAATGCAGCCAACACGATCGTCAACTTCCGCGATTTCCTTGGCAAAAAGTTTGACGAAGTTGACGTTTCCGTGGCCGCGCACGGCGCCAAGCCCGTGAAGACCGAGGATGGTGGTATCGGATATACGATTACCCGCGAGGAGGGCAAGACCGAGCTCGTGACGGTTGAGGAGGCCACTACGCGCCACTTCCGCCAATTGAAGCGTGCCGCTGAGGATTACCTTGGCAAGGACGTTGTCCGCGCAGTGTTGACGGTGCCCACCGACTTCTCCGAGCACCAGAGAGAGGTGTTGAAGAAGGCCGTGTTGGCCGCCGGCTTGGAGGTCGTGCAGGAGATCCAGGAGCCCCTGGCGGCGTTGTTGGCGCACGTGACCGCGGCGCTGACCGCCCTGGGTGAGGACCGTTTGTTGCAGGACAAAATCTACGTGGTGGCCGACTTTGGCGGAATCCGCCTGGACGCCGCCGTCATCGCCGTGAGAGGCGGAATCATGACCGTGTTGGCCACTGCGCACGCCCATAAGTTGGGTGGTGACGACTTGGACGCTGCCATCCTGGAGTACTTCGCTAAGGAGTTCGAGAAGAAGTTCAAGGCAAACCCCAGAAACAACGCGCGCTCGATGGCCAAGTTGAAGGCCGAGTCGATTGTCACCAAGAAAACCCTTTCGAACGTCTCGTCGTCGTCTTTCTCCGTGGAGTCTTTGGCCGAGGGCTACGACTTCCTTGCCAACATTAACAGAATGCGCTTCGAATTGGCGGCTAGAAAGCCCTTGAGCGACATGACCGCGTTCATCGAGACCGTGTTGCTGAAAGCCGGCCTTGACGCCTTGGACATCGACGAGGTCTTGCTTGCGGGTGGCTGCGCCAACGTCGTTAAGTTGGCCCAGAACGTGCAATTTGTGTTCCCTGAGTCTACCACCGTGGTCGCCCCTGCTTTGGACCCACGTGCCACAACCCCTGAGGAGTTGTCCACCAGAGGTGCTGCTTTGCAGGCTGCCTTGATCGAGGGCTTTGACGCCGAGGAGATCGCCGAGTCCTTGCAACCTGTGGTTGTGAACACCCAGCACTTGCAGGCGCCAATTGGTATCAAGGACGCCGAGGGCAACTTCCACGCGCTTTTGGTTGCTGAGACCGCCTACCCAATCAAAAAGTCTGTTCAGGTCACAAACGGCGCTAGCCCAGACGTTGTTGTTGAGTTGTACGAGGGTAAGCGTACTGTGAAGGAAACGATTGTGGAACGCGAGCCATCCTCGGACTCTGACTCTGACTCCGAGTCTGACGATGAGCCAGAGACGAAGCGCGAGGTTGTGTACGTCGCCGGCGACTTGTTGGCGCGCTTGGTATTGGCAGACTTGCAGCCAAATGCCACCGTCGAGGTTATTGTCAACATCACGCAAAACGGCACGTTGCACGTGGCCGGCCGTGAGTTGAAACAGGGTGCTCAAGTGGTTAAAGGTGAGGTTCAGGGCCACTAATTGTTGAGGAAGGGACTTAGAGCTATAGACCGGGTGCCTACTCGGGACGTACATCGCATATGTAACAAAGAAGGATAGACATAAAACGCTGAAAGATTAAAAACTTTGGTCGTTCTTAGCGATCATCATGTGTAAATTTTCCTTAAATGAATAATGATGTGAAACTGGCGAAGATCTTTAGTGGGTTTTGACGACAAAGCCGAGAAAACAATCACGCAGTCTTATGAAATTTCAACCACCCGATTGGGAATTTGAGATTTTCAAGCCAGAGATTTCAACTATCCGTAGTTTTTGTTTCTGCCGGTTTGTCCCTGTTCAAGGTAAAACGTGGCCACTTTTGTCTATACCGCCTCGAAGGAAATGCATAATTTGCGTTTTTGGTCATCCATAAAAGTATATGGCCAACAAATTAGTCATCTTGCAGCGAATAAGACTACGTAAATTACACAAAATAACAAGTAATGACTAATTTGGCTGTTTGGAAAAGATGTGGCTCCTTTTGATGGATCAAGGAGAATGTACACATAAGAATAAACGATTCCTTTCTCAGAAAAAAAGAAAAAAAAAACACTGAATGTTGAAATACCGTCAAATAATTCCTCTCCATCAGGCAATATCCAGATAAATAGCGCAGATATAAATAAACCAAAAAAAATATTTGCTTATCAATTTTCAGCACAAGTTAAGCAAAAAGCGTCCAGTCTCCAGTCTGGCCAGCTAACCTTCAGCTGCATATTCCAGGAATAATTCACACCTACCCTTTCTGAAACATAAGGTTGCACTTAGTCATCGAGAACAATAGTGATTTCGGGTGCTTTCGCTGATGCAATTAGTTCCTCCCGACACTGCCTCCTCCACTGTTTCCCGAGGGTTGTGACGTCACGTGAAAGCGCCACAATTTGGTGTTTCATATCAACCGGCGATTTCAAGCCATAGGCCCTGGCCACCGCGTTGAACTTGATCAAAAACTCCGCATCTACGCCTTGAAAAGCGTGGCTGAGCTGTGCAAAAGCTTCGGTGAGCAAGGCAAATTTCTCTTTCCCGCGGGCACACGGATCTTGCTTCATCCGTAGGAGTTTGACCAAACACCTTCGTTGGATGCGTAATCCGCGTAGCACCTGGCGTAATACTAGCATGTCGGCCTCGTAAAAATAGTAGAAGGCGGTGTCGGTGGGTGCGTGGCAGAGGGCATCACAGATTTCCTGATTCGTCAAGTCTTGAAGTTGTGGCAAGACGGATAATGTCTCTAGTCCCTGGTATGATTTGCCGAATTCCTGTGTGTGCACTAATGTCAACACTATACATAGCGTTGTGAGTCTGGAGAGATGCATGAGTGGATCTGGATCTGCACTTGCCAACTAGAAATTGTTGATTTTGGTGTTTGAAATAAGACGACGAATAAAGCAAGTTTTTATTGGAGACTAATAAAATGTTATTTTGACACATTGTCCAATTTGAATCCCAAAATGGAGTTTTGACTATGGTCGGCCAAACTGAAACTGAAACAGACCTCAACGGCCACGTTATACAGTCCGATATGCCATCGGGGCCGGGCAGTTTGTGATTTTGTGATTTTGTGATTTGACCAAAGCGTTATTTATTATGAGATTAAGGTCACAAAGAAGATGATTTGGATAGCATGAAATTATATCTGTATAAGAAGTATTCCATAATATCGACTTGTAGATGCGTTTCTCATGGAGGGGCCATTCTGCAACACGCCCAATTTGCACCCACAAAATGTCAACATCGCACGGGAGATAACCAATTATCTCTCATGAATGTGATGAAGGTTAAATCTTGAACTTTTAGATTCTAATTTGGTATGAATAAATGAGATTTTGAGGCAATTTCGAGCCCCCAATGGGCACGTGTCAGTGAGTAGTTTGACCGAAACAGTGTATTGATGTTTTGATCGGACTCGAGATTTGAAAAGAAAAAAAAGAAAAGAAGGTAAATACTCGGCGCCATTGATGCGAAAGATAGCTCGACTTCTTCTGGTTGAAGTATGAAGTATGAAATTGACTATTTAGTACAATAAGACCTCTCAAAAAGGATCTGGGTCTAAGAGATGAACTGGCTTAAGTTTCCAAAAACGGTGCGAGGACTTGCTTTTCACACCAAGCCTTTTTCAGAAGACCGCCTGGGGACTATTTGTACATCCGTTTGATAGACGTGACTGATGTGAACAAATCTTACTATAACAGGTTCCTTCGCTGAAAAGGGCATCATGCCAAATACCATTACTTCTGACTCTGATGATTTATTTAGCTACTTTTGCATTACCGCTTTCACGATCAATTCATCAAGCTCATGAATTGGGTAGTTTGTTTTTGTTTCTGTTGCCTTAAACAAAAGAGACTGATTGTAAAAAAAAGCAGCACTGTCAATGAGAAGAAAAAAAACTAGTACACCGTCTCCCCCCTCCC